ACCAATTTCAATTAATCCCATTCACATTACTAATACAATCATAAATATAATTTATCAAATTTAATACACAACGGAATAAATATTGTAATTCAAATTGATTTTAGTAATTGTCTTCTTTCTTTATTACCAAATTGTATATATCATACTCAGACTTTCAAATTAGTAATTTATAATATTCAAGAAAACAATTTCTTGAAGTTCTTGAGATTTGTTTTTGTCAATTTAACAAGAATTATAACAAGGTATGAAGGTTAACGGAGAATTTACACAATGATCTATACTAGTTCAAACATATAAAGGCCTACATCCAGTTTCAAACTTAGCTCCTTGCTGGATCGGAAGCCCCAATAAAAACATGTTATAAAATGAGAGGTAGAAACTTGAGAACTTGTAAAGAAATTCTTGTAATTCTTTTGTTGTTTTTGTGGGTTGTATCCTAATTCTACTTTGTCAAAACTACATCTTTGTTTTCCTAACAGTATATCTAAATTATTTCTACTAATGGTAAATTTTGAAAGAGTACTCCTTAAGTTGTTAATTTCTTCTTTAAATTCATGACATGATGTACATGGATGTGTAATGTTTGTAATTTCCAAGTTACTTGTAGAGCTATGATTTCCATTCTTGGAATTTAGCATTTTAACTTCTGATTTAAGACTATCTAATTCTTCATTTAATTTAGTAATTTCCTTTTCCATATTTGAAATTGTTTTCTTATAGGATGATACTAGTTTTGCAAGTTTTAAAGATTCCTTATGCAGATCATTGAATGCATCTTGTAGTTCATCAAATGAAATTGAGATATCAGTGTTAGAAGATGTTACCTCTTCTTCGCTTTCGTAATCTTTGGCCATAAGTCCCAAATTCACAACTTCATTTTCAGAGTCACTTGTAGAATCCATGTCATTTTCTTCCCAAGTGATATAAGCTTTCTTCCCTTTCATTTCTTTGAAGCTTTTCTTGTTGGATTTTTCCATTTTTCTTTTAAGGATCGGACATTCTAATCTCAAATGTCCCGGTTGATTGCATTCATAGCATCTCGGGGTTGAAGAAGATTCTTCTCCTTTCTTCTTTATGTTGAAATTGAACTTTCTTCTATTTCCTCTATTCTTTAGGAATTTGTGGAATCTTTTTACAAAGAGATTGAAATCTTCATCGTCATCATCATCATCTTCCTCAATGTTGTCATCTTTTTCATTTTCTTCATGAGAGGATGAAGATGCTTTAAGTGCTATACTTTTCTTCTTTTTGTCACTATTTTCATTTTGACTTAGTCTCATCAATTCCATTTCATGCTCTTGAAGTTTTCCAAATAGAGATGCAAGAGATATGGTTGTTAGATCTTTTGATTCAGCAATTGCAGTCACTTTCGGTTGCCATTCCCTACTCAAACATCTCAAAACTTTGTTAATAAGATCTTCATTAGGAAACACTTTTCCTAGAGATGCAAGATGATTAATTATATGTGTAAATCTCTTTTGCACGTCTTGTATGCTTTCATTTAATTTGATTCATTCTAAATAATTCATATTCATGAGTGAGAGTGTTTATCCTAGATCTTTTCACATCATTAGTGCCTTCATGTGTTACTTCAAGTGTATCCCACATTTCTTTAGCATTTTTACAATTTGAAATTCTAAAATATTCATCAATTCCTAAAGCAGAAGTGATTATATTTTTGGCTTTTAAGTTATATTGAACCTTTCTTCTATCATCTTCATTCCATTGATCTTTGGGCAAATTTTTAATTTCATTGCCTACTACTATAGAGGGAATGAAAGGACCATTTTCAATAGCATCCCATATGTTTAAATCTATGGCTTCTATAAAAATTTGCATCCTAGATTTCCAATAATGATAACCTTCACCATTGAATATAGGGGGTCTATAAATAGAGTTACCCTCGGGAAATAAAAAATTTGATGAGGCCATTTCAATTCTTGAAGCTTTTAAGCCTTCTACAAGAAACCTGATCTGATAGCCTCTGCCACGGGACAATTGATGCAACCCGCAACATGTTTGAATATGCATTTTAAAGGCGTGAAATGCTCAAACAAGTTTTAAACTTGTCAACACCTATAAGACGCAGATGCCAACTAACCTTTTTACTATGTGTTATACTTGTCTTAATTTTATGTGTTTATTGAATATGTTATTTAATAAAATCATTTTTAGTTCTTCATTCCTCCTGTATGTTGGACACATACTTCTTGAAATGACTTGGATAAATATTGGTCACTCAAACATTACTTTGTTATCATCAAAACTAGGATGTTGGAGGTGCATAAAAGGTCTTTGGTTCAACATGTTATGATGATTATTGGAAAATGTGAACTAAATACAATATCAATTGAAACATTTCCACCATTAGATTTGGGTCAAAATACATAATATTATAATTAAGAATTACCTCTTGTAGTGTGAGTGACTTTTGTAAAGATTTGCAAAGTTTGTGCAATCAACCATGTAGTCCAACAAATGATAGTTAGACCTCTACACAATCCATGCGAGCAACTTCCTCGTCAATCCATGACTGAGAAATAAGGCAATGCTAGATAGTTGTGCACAAGATCAAAAAATAGTTGTTAGGGTTTTTGCACACAACTAGTATATTGTGTGGTTTTCTAAAAATGCAAACACTATTTATGCCTCATATGTTTCTTATTTATAGGCAAACAACACTTTAACTTAGTAATTATTGGGTTCCTTACATTAAAAGTTTGGCCCATGAGAGATCTTATCTATTCTTATATATTTGATTTGCCTTTTAATTAAGTCCCATATATTATGAATCTACTTCAAAAAGAAACATTTTTTCTTCTATTTTGCTTTATTCATGTGATCCAATAGGTTCTCATTACATTAACAATAATATAAAATCTTAATATTATAAAAAGTGAGAGACATCTAACAACACATCACTATTACCCAAGTAATAAGAATATTTTTGTGATTTGATGTATAAACTTCCATGACAACATTCTTTATGTAACTTGGTCCCTTTGTCCTATATCATAATTGAACACGATGCATAGATTGTGTCTTCCTTGCATAGTTCAATTATACTTTATTTCTTGACACTTGTAAAAACATTAAAATCAATATTTCATATTGGCTTACTCAACATGATCATGCATTATTTGTCTTACACTATCAAAAGGGCCCATACAAATAATACTCATGCTATAAAGGAGGGACAAATTGTATCTAGATCATTCACATTCATCTTCATGATTCGTTCTATATCTAATAACCAACTTTATAATCATCTTATTATGAGTGACATTTGTTAGTATTAAAACATAGAACTTTTCATGTAAGAATTGTAGTGACTTTAGGTCCAAGTGTAACATCCTATTTTTTTAAAATAAATAATAAAATAAAGTTACAAAATAATATTTATAATATAAGTTTAATTTATTTATTTAATTGAGCTTATAATACAAATAAAGAGGCTTTCAATAAATTACATCATATAGAAATAAGTGGTGGGTTAGAGGAGCCTTTAGGTTTGGACTCTTAAGCACAACTTGGAGACTTATTAAAGTCAGCAGAATTGGGTTAGATTAGTTTTGCTCATCAACTTTTAAGCTCTAAGAGTGCCTGCAAATAAAAATATAAAGGAGAACTCTAAGTGTGTGGAGTAGCTACGAAGACGGCAAAGAACCATGCTTCTGCCTCAAGGTTCATCATTTGAGGTTATAAGGGGAGTGGGGATGTCTCACTTATGGGCACAAATAAGGGGTATGGGTATAGTTAGGCAGCTGCTAAGCCTCAAATGATAATTGGTTGAAATTTTTTTGGTGCATGCATTAATTATATGAAGTTGTTGTTTTTGTATGAGTATGAGATGTCATGAATTTCATGAATTATGATTATGTGTAGTACAATTGAATATTTGCATGTTAAGGTTGAATGTATGATTTGAGGGTTTTGTGTAATTTGATTGATGTTAAAAATTTTTGTATGAACATGCCTTAGTATCTAAGTGATTTCTTTTTGTTTGATTAACCATATAGAGTTTTTTATTAGATTGGAAAATAGACATTTAGGGCTACAACTTAAACTCAAGAATCACATAACAATATTAAGAAATGATTGAGTTATGTAAGTTAAAAAAGACGAGTCTCACGATTTGTACAATGTTAATAAAAATGAATAAAATAAAAATTTAAGCTACATAGAAAAATATTGAGTTCTAAAGTTTACACTATTAAATATGACACATTATAAAGTGACAATATGTTGATGTCACTAATGATGTAACATCATGTTAACATGACACATGATGATATCAAGATATCATTTTTTGTTGACATGGCACATGATGATGTTATCATGACATTTACAAGTTAATATTTTTATAATGGTATTTGTTAATATGATTAAAAATGAAATATTTGAATTTTACAATGATGATTAAAAAAAATACAAGGACAAAACATTAAAATAAAAATGTTAAATTACATTTATGAAAATCATATTTAAGCAAAAAATAAATGCTTTTAATATTTTAAAAACAGAAAATAAAGTACTTAAACAATACTCTTTCTAACTCTTTTTTACTAAAATTCATTAAAAATCATGAATTTTAATAAATTTTATTTCTAAATTAGAAGTTACTCATTAAATGAGGAAAGACTCACCAAAATTGGTGATTTTTAATAAAGTATTTCAATTAATAGTAGAAAGTGTTATTAACATTCTTTAAAAAAATTAAAAAAAAAAAAAAAAAAAAAAAAAAAAAAAAAAAAAAAAAAAAACCAATACTTACCATCCACAAGTAGGAGGATTTGGATAATTTTTTTTAAAGTATGAGCAAGTTTTGTACGATTAAATGTTAACCACTTAAATTGTCTATTCACTTTCATTATGTTTACAAATAAAACTATTAAGACCAGTCTAAAGATGAAGTTTAGATTCAAGAGCCTTGATTAGTTGCCTTTTAAGCATCAATTTTCACTTCAAACTATGGTCCCATGTATAACTTGCAAGCACACTGTAGAAATGAAGCGAAACAATTGTCTAGAGGGTGGCTATACAAGGAGTGTCAACATATACATAAGCAATTTCGAAGCCAATACTTATTGATTATTGAACAAAATATATGGCATTATGGAACGAGCCCAAACACCATTCAAGAATATCACCAAGAAGAAATAATAAAGCGATTTATCCTGCATTTAAATTGTCATTATAAAGGGGTATCTAGTTTACAATGATCTATGATTCTATGGCTAAACTCGGGGCAAAAAGAAAGTCTCAATGCCTACACTTTTTTTCCTTCTTTTTTCTCTTTCGAAATATGCACTTTGGATATCATGATGAAGGTGTGCAAATATTTACGATGTGTCCCAATTCGGGATGTTAGCACTAGCCTCATTCACCATCTTTACAAGGGTCACCTGCAGACATTATCATATGCAAATAACACATTTATATTGCTTTGTATTAGGTTTTTGCTACCAGAAAAAATTAATTATAAGTAATAAAAGTATATAACAATTACTTCAATGAACTAATCAAAAGTTCGTATAAGGTAAGGAGTCGAGCTGAATGTTGATATAGAAATACTATTCTTAAACTAGGTTGAGATTTCCATTACCTAGTGCTGGAATATCCCAATTACTGAATTACATAATCTATAAAACTCTGAATAAAAAAGGGGAAAAGATGAAGCAATGCAACACTTATTATGCTAGTATCCTATCCTACTCTTTTTTTTTTAAAAAAAAAAAATTAGATTCATATCCTTTCTTACTCTACTCTTGCTCTTTGTTGACTCATCCTTTCTTAATCTTATCTTGCTTTCATAGTATTCTCATTCCTTCTTTGCGCTTACCTTGCTTCCTTAGTAGGCATTATTTTATCCATCTTTTTGCTATCCTAATCCCAAACAAGCCCTTAAAGTTGAAGACTGATGTGATAAAAAAAGTAGGTACGTAATCACAACCAACCAGTAAAGCAACAAAAGCATCAATGTAAGGAAAATTGGCAAGGTTTTCATTATTTCAACTCAACTGAAGGAGTGTAAGTGAATCAAGATCCACCTGTAAATCTGATCAACTTGATCCAACCCAATTACATTTCAGCAGATTTGGTTGGACTATTAAGTTGGATTGTACATATATGAACTGACCGAACTATAATTGGGTTGGATATCAGGTTAATGAGTTTGGAACCTGATTAACCCGATCTAAAATTAATATTAATAGTTTAATACTAATTATGTATTTTCTTGAGATATATTGATTCTATATTTATGTTAGTATGTACTGATCGTATAATTTATATTAATATTAATCTCATAACATATTTCATTTTTCTTTTAATTTTTTCTTTTTCAGATTTTTTCAAAATTCTAAAATATTTTAATAAATCGGCCTTATTACTCAACTCAACTCAGTCCGAATGTCTGATTATTTTTTTATATTAAACCAAATTCAAACTAATCCAATCCATTTAGACACATACTCAGCCAGGGTAGGTCTCTAGGTGGATAGACATAAAACATCACTAAAATTTGACAATACCAAATATAAAGACATACCTCGAGAAAACTTTTCGTCAAACTACTAACTAAAAAAATATCAAGGTCATGTCTGCAGAAACAACCACGTTTTCAAAAGAGCAGCCTTTAATCTAAATGAAGCAAAAAGCAATGCTACACTAAAAGGAGATGAACTAAAAGTATCTTGAGGCTGAGGGCATCCCCACTAGAGATAATCTTATTCGACAATGCTCACTAACACATTTATGAATGGACTTTTAAACCAAAGATTTCCAATCCATAAGAGAGATATATAGTTACCAATTCGCCTAGCTTTATTTCACGTAGGATAAACCTACACTTAATCCCAATACTAGTATTTTCAAAGATATAATCCAATCATAAATGTTCTTATGCAGTAACATTCTCCAGCTAGTGCCCCTTTCCATTATCCTGAGGCAAAGTATACCTAGAGTAGATTTAATTTCTCTTTCTTTTCCTTCTAGGTAGGGTGAGTGAAGAAAAACAAAAACAAAGCCTTATCCTACTAGGTGAGGTATTGAGGTCAGCAACATGGATCACATGACTTCATTTGACTCGATTAAAGATCAAAGTTTCAGCAATGTTATTTACCATGAGATCCCTCTTGACCGCTTCCTCCAATGAAAGTGTAAGAAAATTACATATGATGGTAGATGAGGGAAACAAGAAAGTGTACAGGCATCTTAAAATGTTGTAGTTTCAAGAAGATCATTTGGAGATATTGATCAAGCCCATACAGTTGATAACAAATGAACTTTATTGTATCCTGATGTCAGATAGCACTAAAAGATGGAGGATTGGACAGAAGTAAAGCTAGTGGCCTATAACTGTAACCAAGTCTCATAATTATCATGTCACTATTTGCATGTAGTTCCATCAGTAGCACTTGTCAAATCATTCCCTACAAACTACCAGACTTCATTTCAAGCACAATCTCAACATATGGACGGACCCCTACTATATAAAATAAGGAGTTACTCAATCCTGATGTAGATATGTAATCAAAGAATTAACTATTGGGAATGAAAAATATAAAACGATCCAATGACTGGATCAGTGTTCAAACTTCTTAGATACAGATATTTTTGTTACTGATTCTCATTCAAATAGTTATATATGTTCTAATGGAAAAATTGTCGTTTTCTTATCACCTTCCATGTTAGTAAAATGAAAATAAGTATGAAATTACTGAGAGAATTTATTATAGAATCCTATATAAGTTCTATATTAAGTTTCATGTATCAACAATAACAGTTCTTGCTAGACATTATTCCAATAAGATAAGATGAACTGCTAATATCAATTGGCAAATTCTAGACATACCACACTTTCAGGAACCCCTGGTGGGGGCAAGGGCAAGTTTTTTGGTGGAGGTCCTCGTAGATGTGACCTTTTGTCAAATCTCCACTCACCAATTTTTCCGTAAGTCAGTTCACCCTGAGCATCAAGACAACTATGAGAAATACGCAAGAAGCTAGAGTGTTTCAATAACAGCATATCTTCAATAACAGTATATCTGCTAAAGCAAAGGCCATAGCACACAGCAAGAAAATAAAGCAGATTTCACGAGTTCAGATATGTGTTCACCAAGAATGTAAATTTGGAACATTCAATGACCATAACTATGCAATTGGGAAAAGAAATAATTCACCTTCATATTGTAGTCACATCCATAAGTATAGTGAAGTATGTACTTCTTGTTAGTTTCAAGATCCCATGGGGGCTGAAAAGTCACAGACAAAGAAAGGTAAATTCAGCATTGGGTACGCTTGTCATACTTGGTAACACTTGATCTGATAATAACATAAACTAGATACAACATCAAGAGCTACATGATGTTGTGCCAAACCTGTAGCATGAAGTCTTTCCGCAGAATGTGCCTCACACCATGCAGAGCAGATGCAACAGCATAAGCATACCTTGGTTCCACAAGAAAAAAACATTACATAAAGCATCAAACTATCAGTATCAGCACCTCTTCTAGAAAAAAAAATATCTGCAATATTTATCAGTTATTTGGAAAGACATACATTTCTAGCACCCATCCAAATGCTTTATCGGTCTCTGGATCCTCTTTCATCTTCAAAGATATATTCATCCATGTGGGGGCAATCTTTGAGATCAAATCCTGGAAAAAGAAAATAGAGAAGTCCGTTGATAGATACCCATTAGTAATTAGTTAGATGCCTGTTAGTAAGGCAGTTAGCTAGTTAGTTAGCTTAGTTTGAACGACTGAGATAGTAGAAGGCATATTGCCCATAAATGAAGAGGGGAGGATTTAGGGAAAAATCATCTTATCATTTGAGAAACAATTAGACTATTAGCCCTAACCTAAGGCTGCTTCTACATATTGGCACAGCAATTGCGATTTAGGATTCATCAATACAAATTCATTATTTCCTTCAGATTCTGAACCAGGTCTATCATCTATATGAAATGAATTGACATTAACAATTTTCAACACAAAGATGATGAAATCTACTAGCTTAGAGAACCAGCAATAAATTTTTTTACAATAATCAGGACAAGAATAAGGACATGGAAAGTTATTCAAGCATCAAGAACAGGTAATGGAAGAGATTCTACCTTTCTTATAATTACAGGAGAATTGCCGATTGGATCAACTTTTGTAACGGGTCCCAACTCCTCGGGATAAAACTTCCTTATGATTTTTTCATTCTGATCAGGTCTAATGTAAAAAAATGGAAAAGCAGCTGGATGTCCCCCATAGGCCAGATTGGGCAGAGGACGTAAAAATATGTGATCAGGCTCTGCCATTAACACATATCTGCATCAAAAGAAGAGCAAGTAGGTCATATTTTATTATTGTAAAACAAAAAAGATAGATCACAATTTACATAGACATAGTATAAGAGATCTAACTCTTCCTCTATTTTAGCCTTTTGCAGCCACTGAACAAATGCCCATGGCCTATTAAGAACAATGTATCCCTGCAAACAGATCAGAAAACATCTAAGCTGCATTGACTGAAGAAAACCAAACAATAAATAAAGAAATGCATAGTGAAACATTCAATTATTGACTCTATCAAAACTTCAAAAGGAGAGGAATACAAAATATGGATAGAGAAGCAAGAAAAAGCCTCAAATACAAGTCAAGCAGTTGACTTTTATTTGCATTAACTTTTAAAACAGATATATTTTTAAACAGTTGGAACTGCAAAAAATATGACCCAGCAAACATTTGAAGAATGAACTCTGCAGCACTAAGCTTATAATATATTCATATTGAAAAGACAAAAGAAAAAGACCCCTAAATTTATATTTCTTTGGTATTAGGTATTGCCATAAGAAATTCAGGCATCCCAATTATTTTCAAACTTATATATTGCATAATGAATTTTAGCAACTATTTATCACATTTCCTCCCTTCGATAGCATCCCTCAAATTATCTCATTTACACCAAATCATTTTCCAGGGTTTCACTTTTTTCACCAAAGTAATAAGGTCCAAAACCTCTCAACCTTTTATCAAATTTCCAGATTCGAATTCAGAAGCATGTACAGCAGTTTAGTAATCATGGCATCTCAGTATATCAATTATAACTGAAACTAAAATATTATTAAGCCAAATAGCTGAATTAAAAAAGGAAATAGCAAATAACAAAAAAAATATATATATATAAAGGAAAATCACAGTAAACTCACCCGATCTAAACCTGCTGGAAGGGGATCAACCACAACAGTTGGAATTTCATCCATCAAGTTGTCAGGATTTCCAGAATGTAGTATCCTAGTGAAGCCTCCCATCTCTGACCCAGGTAACTTCTTTTGTTGTTTATACCAGTAATACATGACACGGCATTGCCATTTGTTATATGGAGCATCTGTTGCCGTTAATGCAACATGAAAGGGTGTTCTAGATGTCTTCCGATTCTTTACATGATCAGGCATCTCAATAATGGGGTCAAAAAACAATGCACCATCATCAATAGCCACGCCTTCGGAAGATCCATAGTGCATTAACATTGTCACCAAATTATAAGTGGCAAAGGAAGAACCAAGAACTAAAAAAATTAAAAGTAATGGTGAAGCACGTCCCATGGTCTTCCTATTCCAGACAGATTTCAAAATATCATGGACCTGAACCTCCCTCAGTTCTTGACAGAACGAACTCTACTCTGAAAAAACAAATAGCTCTTCATCAGAATACATGTTTCTCACTAATAAAGTTTCATTCATCGCATCCAATTACCAAACTAAGACAAGTTAAAGAACAAATCAGAGTGCAACTTTATAAAAGTAGGATCAAAGTTTAAATAGTCGGATCAGATTATAATTCAACTAGAGATTTTGAAACAAACCCATCAATTAACTTGCACCAACTGGCAATTGCCACATATTTACGTTATGTGATCCAAATCAACCACTTTAATAACTACCTCTCAAATTCCATTTTTCTTAGAAGCCAATGGAAAAAAAAAAAAAAAAAAAAATCACTTTCTAACAAACTCACAGAAACACCCAAGTGAAGCAGAAAGCAAACAAACGTAATTTTAAGAACAGAACCTTAGCTCCACATTTACAAAGGATAAAAATCTTGAAAATGAAGAAAAGACACTATCCAGGATAAAAATTCAAAACTTGGGAAGCACTGCAAAAAAGGGTAAAGAGACTCATTTAACTAACATTACACACATAAAGTTAAAAAAATAAAAATAAAAATAAAAAAAATAGGAACAGAAGCACCCAAGATTCCATTTTGATTATTCATTCCTTTCATTTCCCAATTCCCATCGAGGATTCCCTGAATCAATATTGGTTGGTAAAAAAACATTTTTTTTTGTTGGAAAATAACAACAACAATAAAGGGTGCATGATGATTTTTCAAGGAATTGAATCAAATTACAATTTGAACCACCAGTCCCTGCCAAGTGGTGAATCGAAAGGAAGATAATAAACAATGGGTCAACGCCAAATTTCAACAAATAACGCCAATACTGTAAGAAAACTGAAATGGGTATGCAGAAAATTTGGAAAAGTGAATGAGAGAGAGAGAGAGAACCCACGTTTGGTCTGTGTGAGAGAGATTTTAGAGAGAGAGAATGATTTATGGATCGGAGAGAGTGAGTTGTAGTTTGGCAGTTTCTTCTTCCTCTCCGACGGAGGCAACGCGGCGGCGATTTTAATTTTCACTATTTTATTTCATTTCTTTGTGTTATAAATGTGTTGATAGGTACTACCAATGGTAGGTACTACTACTACCAAATAACTTTTTATAAATCAACTTTCAATTGTTTTTTCTATAACAACAATCTCTTTCTTCATGAAAATATAATTGTGTGACTCACACTTATATAGTAACACTAATTTTGTTGATTGATGCATACAATTTGGATCTCTAAAATTAAAATATTGTACAATACATTTTCAAAAGTATGAAATTTTTAATCATCTTAGTTCAAACTTAAAAAAAGTGTGACTAAAAGAAGTACTAAATTGATAATAAGGAGTTCAAGTTAAAGATTTATTTAATTTTTATAAAATTTATTTGACAATTTTTTAATTATATAAATTAATATGATAACATTTTTCAATTTCAGGAATCAGAGTAAATATTTAGTTAATACAAGATATAAACATGAAATTTTATTTGTGAAATCAAACATATATTACTTAAACCAGTGGAGCTGGAGTTGCTAAGTCCAAATTTTATTCTTGTGATTATATCAATTTCTAATGATAAAAAATTATATTACTTGACTTGACTATTTATAAGTTATTTCATAATTTTAATACGCAACTAGGTATATAATTACTGTTTTTATATTAATAAAAATTACAATAATAATAACAATGAAGATTAAACTGAAATTTTTATTTATTCCGACCATAATATATTTTAATTAATTATTTAACAAATATCCAATTACTTTAAACATTTTGTGAGAACCTTTATCATTTATAACAAATAATAACTCTATTTAATTCAAACAAATTTTTCTTCCGTAAAAAATATGTCATCTGTATTAAAAATGTTAAAAACTTAATATTTATATATTATCAATGTAAAAACATTATATTATAAATGATTTATAAATCGTTAGTAAGATTGAAATATTTTGTATTTTTATATTTTATTTAATAAAAATATTTAAAAAAGTATTAATATTTGTAAGATCAATTAATATTGTATTTGATTTTTAAATTTTAAAATTTCAAATTTAAATCTTATGTTTGTAAGGATAAAATAATTATTAAAAATCAATAATAGATAAAAGTATTCATTCAATTTTAACAAATATTTAGAAATCGAAACAAAATAATTAAATTAGTTTGAGTATTGAATATATCACTTTATTAATATGATGATCTATTGATAATTTATATAAATTATTTCTAATTAAAGTTAATATATCGATATATTATTTATATATAGATATAAATATATAAATATAGATTATTAGATCTTATATATCATGATGATATTATAACACAGCTAACTTTGTAAAATGCCCCATAATTTTTTAAGTAGTTAATATCACTTTAAATAGCTTTTAATTTTAATCATTAATGTATATTTAATGATTTTAATTTACTCCTCGTACACTTGGCTGAAGAAAACATTCTTTGGTGTAAAAAAAAAAAAATCTTTCTGACTAGTTATGGCCTAAAAATGTCAAAATTATGTGATTGCTTTTACTTTTACTTTTTTTTTCGTTACGAGTTTAATTACATATAATATAATAGAGAAATGATATATTATTACACAATATTTTATAAATAAAATATTAAAAAATGCTGGTGCAAGGTAAATTTTTCTTTTGAATTAATTTCGTGTTTCCAAAATAATTGTAGACATCTATGATGGATGGTGCATCCTTATTACTAGGTATGACAATCTAACCCGTCCTGTGGGTACTCACTTGAACCCGTCCCGATTTAGACAGGAAAAATTTGTGTTTATCGGGTTCGGGTTCGAATTCGAGTTTTTTCCGATTGAGAAAATCAGAACAGGGACGGGGATTAATAATATAATTAAAAATTTATTTTTATATATATAAATCAAAATTAGAAATATTTATATGTAAAAATTTATATTTTATTTTTTATTTTTTTAAAATTTGTTCATATTTATTTAAAAGAAAAGAAGAAGAAAAAA